CCCTCACCCTAAACCCTAAATCCTCAGCCATGAGCCCTAAACCCTATAAGCCCTAAACTCTAAACCCTAAACCCTAAACCCTAAACCTCTAAATCCCACACCCCAAACCCAAAGCACTCCAAGCCAGGACCCCTACTCCCTGCAGGTTGCCGCCATGGCCTGCAAAGGGCTCAGAGGCACACATTAGGGTTTAAGGGGTTTTGGGTTACGACCACACGGTTTGAGGTTCAAGGGTGGGCTGAGTAAACCCTGTGCTCTACTTCCAGGGTCAGGGGACTTCCCATGATTCAACTTATTCAGTCCCCGTGACGCTGAGATTCGGTGATGGGAGCCACAACAATAACTATAACAAAGAGAACATCCCACACTATTGTGCTGCCAATCACAAACACAGCTTTCCCGTCAGACCTTTTTGGATCACCCGTTCCACAAAGCCGCTTTGACGATTTATTTGCTGGTTGCAGGTAGGGAATGAAGGAATGGCCAAGAAAACGGATACTGGTTTAGGATTTAGGGTTCAGGGTTTAGGTTGGGTACTGCCCCCACTGCCACCCTGCAACAGTTTATATCAGGGGTCATATTCAGGGCTAGATATAGCTAGATTGTAAATTCTATCCAACTGTTACAGAGCGGTGGCCGTGCCCAAGCCATAGGGTCTAAGGTTTGTAGCTGAGGAAGTAGGGAAGAACACGAAAACTGCAGTATTAGTGTATCGCCGATTACTTGTATCTGGGGCTACTAAAAACTTTAGGGGTCATTCCTCCATTCCCTGCTAAGAACCCGTACGGCCAGGAAGGCATAGCATGAGACGGCTGTCGTGATTCACGATGGTCCGACTTGACTTGCCTGTTGAGCACGTGCCAGTTCTGTGATCACAGCTGTTGCGACCATCCACTCCACACCCAAACCTCCAAAGCCTTAAACGCGACAGCCTCTGCCTAAACCCTAAACCATAGACGCAAAACCCTAAACCCTAAACCCTCCCCAAAGCCTAAACCTGAGTTCCCTTCCCTCCCCCCTGGCCAGAAACTCCACAAGTCGCCATCCACCGCGACGATCCTTCAGTGGATTCTTGATGCCGCCGACCTCAGAATTTTTCGCTAACACGCTTTGGGATCTAGAATAAGGGCAATTACCCTGAGCGAGAGGAAATAGTCTCATGGATGTCTATATATACATATATATTTATATCTGCATATAAATATTGAATGGAGGCTATGAGGGATTCTGGTCCCTCTTGCTTGTTGTTTTTGCCACTTCTGGCCGGAGGTGATCCTGGTGGTGCTGCTGCTGCTGCTGGTACCTGACCACTAATTACAACAATTCCCCAGCTCAGGGCTTACCAGGATAATGATAATAACAATAATAGTAACAATAATGGTAATAAGAGTAGTAATCGTACTAATAATAGTAATAAGAGGAGTACTAGGGTTTATACATGGAACTACAACCGCGAGGCTGGGTTCACAGGTTGCGTGACTGACATAGCGTTGCAAGAAGAACCTCCGGAAAACGGCTGGTCTTCGTGATTCCCGTGGCCGACATGGCAACATACCGTATTACTCCTAGAGGCTAAGCCGGCTAAGCAGCAGCGGGCCTAGGGCTACCCCCAAACAACAAACGTATGCGGGTTCTGAAAAGAACATGGACCGGAAGCATCGGCCTAACTACTTTTGTCGTAGCAGTCGGCAGAAATGCTGTCAGCCTCGTAATCCTCGTCTTCGTTTCGGAATTTGCTGATGACCACCTGCTGTACCTGGCAAGTGAGCTTTGCTCAAGTCCCATTCGACAACATTCTGATGTAAGAGCTCGACGACGGGCAACATGGGCAGTATTAAACATTAGGATCCCAATCAAATAGAAGCTCCATTGTAGGGCGTATGACAAGAAGCAGTGCTGTAGAGGGTAAACATTGTGAGCTAACACGTACACTTGACAATCTGCGCCTTGTCCACAAGACGTCTCTGCAACCAGAGGCCAGCAAACATGCTGTTTGCAAGAACAGCTTCCCAATCTCTGGCAGTCTCGTCATTTACCCATCACTCTGTAACAACAGGCCTATTGCAAAGCCCCATCAATGCGAACTTGGAAAGCCCAAAATATGAAAGCCCCTTCGCGATATGTAGGGATCGTATGGACAAAACGCCTTACTCATTTGGGGGAGGCTGGTATTGTTGATAAATCCTACAGCACCCCAACAGCCTTGAATCCTAAACTTCCAACACTTTCAAATGTTTTATGCTACAGGGTTCCTTCCACGACCGTAACTACCAAAAACCACGGCCCGTCTGCGCAGACATTCAAGAACTGCAGCAAGCTTCTAAGCTAATAATTTGTAACCCTAAGCCCCAAACCCCAACCTAAAACCGTATTTTTTGATAGTCATGTTGTTTTGAGGCGGAGAGGGGGGGTTCTGCATATCATCATGGGAACAAGACAAGGCTTGGGTCTAGGTCTTTGTTACCGCTGCCTCTGCCAATTAGAGCCCCAGTATTGGAATGTGGGAGACTTGTGCATGGACTAACAGGTACTGTTGATACTAAACATCCTGCATGGCCTTGCTAATTTGGTACCATAATTCCCCAAGTATAAGGCGCGACCTACTCAAGGTGATGCCGGATGTGTCGTATCTACGTAACGGTGCCCGGTAGTGATAAACTGTGGATGCAGCCCCAAAACTCTAAACCCGAAACCCTTAAATCCCTACAAACCCTAAACCCCAAACTCTAGAAGCTAGAGGTAAGTTGCATAGCTGACCCAAAGCTGATCTCCAACGACAGGTTGGAAGGGCTGTTGATATCCCGCTACCCTGCATGTTTATTTAAGGTTTACGGTTTAGGGCTTGCTCAGGGCATAGAGTGCTCGCTGGTGTGGCGACGCTCACACCCAGGCCGCTCGCACCGGTGCGTATCAGTCAACCCACCCCAGAACCGCCCGGAGTTCAAGCAAGTCCGGGTTTGGTTTCTAAAGTCTTGTGGGCATCCTGTTCGGGGCCCAGGCAGCACCGACGCGTGCCACCATTCAATCGGGTACCGGACATGACGTGACGTGCTTCGAGGTTCTGGCTTTCTGGGAGGCTGTTCTGCCGAATTGCATGACATCCAAAACCAAAGCAAGGACCGTCAGCGGCTGAGATGCGTTGTTGGGTTACTTGCGAAGCTGCGTGGTGTGGTCGCGCTCTCAGTGGTAATGGGCCAGTGCTTGCTTTCTGTGAGGCTGTTGTGTCGGGGTATTTCCGCGAACACCTGAACAAGGCGGCGCGAGGTTGGCTTCAGACGTTGGTCTCCGCCATCTTTGCGTGTTGTGCCGAGCTATTTTTGCGGCTGCTCGGGCAGGATCGGAATTGGTCCAGAATCGGTCTCGGAGCAGCCAAAAATAAATAGCCCGAGAGACATCAGAAGCATTCAGAAGCGGTCTAGATCGCAATCAATCCAGAACTGGTCTGGGATCAGCCACGACTGGTCCCTCAGAATTGGTAGATCGCAATGGGTTCAGAACTGGTCAGGGAGCAGCAACTCGTCCGGAAAATGCCAGAAGTACTCTCATCTGGGAGGGAGCCTGACACGCAGAGACTTTAGTAGGCTTTAAGAAACCGCTCCGAAAGAAAGATCTCGGAAACATTGTTTTTGGGCACGTTTTTGCGAGGGGGTGCCCCCAGGCCGCGAGCCCCCGGTGGATGCTCCAGGGAGGTTCCAGAGTGCTGGCAAAAACCGCCGGGTTTACGGTTTCTACCCTTAAAACGCTACACTTATAATACCTCCATAGGAGGGCCCCGACGAGGTGCCACAGATGGCGGCCGTCACCCAGCTTTATCTGGGCTCCATGACGTTCTATGCTGCCCGCGAAGCTCGGGCAGATTCGGGCTCCGCGTGGCGGTTGTCGAGCCCTCCGCTAACTTGTTATAGAATCAGGGCGACTCAACACGTAGGTCAATAATGCGGATAAGTAGGGCTATTAATACAGGAATAATATAAGTTATTACCCTACTTATTACTAAGTCCCCTGACTCTCAAAGTAAACCCTACAGAAGGGCTCGAGACTCTCACGATTCCCCAAGTATGAATCTGCATGCTTTCTGGCGGCTCTTCAGCTTTCAGGCTGTGGAAAGCAGATGTTTACACATGTCTGCTTTTGTACATATGTATAATTCACGTGTAAAGTACATGTGTATGTAGATATGTAAACATATGTCTGCAACATTCGTACTACATACCCATGTACACATTTTCTACACATATCTGAATGATTACATCTATGTCTAGTTATAGATACACATATTATCATACATATATGCAAATATACTCGTGTAAATATGTACATAAACTCATAAGTGTTCCATATAGATATACCCTAAACCCCTAAAACCTAAACCGCCTCCCGCTGAAATCCGTGCCTCGCGAATCTGCTCCCGCTCCCTCGAGGTGGTGGGCTTGATGTCCGCCTGAAGGCGGCCAGCTGCGGTTGAGGGTTTAGGGGTTTTAGGGTTTGTATAGAGATTATAGAAGGGTTATAGGGTATATATTGAGGTTATATAGGGATTGTAGGGTATATATTGGAGATAAATATATAGGGATTTAGGGTGTGTATTGGGGTTACATAGGGATAATGGAAAAGAAAATGGAAACTACTATTTAGAGTTTGGGGTTTAGGGTTCCGGGTTCAGGGCTTAGGGCTCAGGGCCTGGCTCAGGGTTTAGGGTTTAGGGTTTAGGGTTGTCATTCAGCTGTAAAATGAGGATTCTACGGTGCGGGCTTTCAAGGAAGACGAGGCCCCCTTACACATGGAAAGCTGCTCCAATGAAAGGGGAACCCTGTATTTTGGAAACGCCCATCAAAGGCTCCTAAACCCTAAACCCTACACTGATTGGGCCCTTCCTAAGCTCAATCGTTATGGGCCCAGAGTGATCAGTCGCCACAGGTTGATGTATTTTGTACAGCCCTTCTGTTCAGTTGTAGGGTTTAGGGTTCGGGGTTGAAGGTTTAGGGTTGAGGATTTAGCGGTTTAAGCTGTAGGGTCCTAGGATTTTGGATCTGTTTACGGTTACTGATTTGCGCGGACTCCTCCGAAAATGCCTTCAGCTGTTTATATTTGACCCTAAACCCTAAGCCCTCATGCTGTTTATCTCAGGGTCGACATGCTGCGCAAAGGGACGATGTGGACCCCTGATGAATGAACCCCCTCCTTCTAAGGGCCTTCATATTAGGATCCCTACTGTAATCCCTATTGAGGGGAGGGGGGGTTATTAATCAGGGGTCTTCATCACAAGAAGGCAATATTGAGAAACCTTCAGCTGCAATTGATACAATTGTAGCTGCTAGTTTGACTATGCAGTGTTGATCTCAACCAACTTTTTTCAGTACAGACATTTTAGCAAAATCGAGCTAATAGAATTCATGCCCTGGCACATTGGGGTATCTCGAAACATGCAGGTTTCTCCATGGAGGCCCCTCCAAGGAAGCCAGGAGTTGGGGATGATATAGGCTAGGGTATAGGTGTGCCTCGTACTTCAGAAACCTCAACGCTTAGCTGTCGCTTTCACAAATATTCCTGACAGATTAATGTACTGCTGCTGGCCATGATTTTACGTACTGCTGGGGTCCAGGTAATTAGTGGGAAGTACCTAGTATTGTAATGCGCGCTGGGGATCCCACACAGAATCCAAACTAACAACCCGTACTAAACGTAAGAATGAACCACGTAGGAGGGTGCAGAACAGGGAGTCATGCGTTATAGAGAAGGTCGTTTATGAACTACTCTAGGGAATCATTCATTCCTTGATGATGACCAACAATAGGTACACCCTAAACAGACCCAAACCCTAAACCCTAAACCCTAGGTACACCCTAAACAGACCCAAAGCAGCTTCGCAATGACGCTTGGACTCATGACGCTCACCTCGGCCATCGCCTTCAACAAGCCCTGCCGGAGAAGACTGGGGGTTTAGGGTTTAGGGGTTAGGGTTTAGGGTAATATAGTAATAGAAGTGGAATATAGGGAGTGGAAAAATGGAAGCTACTATTTAGGGTTTAGGGTTTAGTGCTTCAGCTTTCTGGGACTTCATGGCTTTGGACTCTCCCTACTGGTGG